CTCTACTATTATGAAGACTTAAAGGAAAGTTAGTAGTAGTAGATAAACTATTTCAAACAAAAAACATTTCAAAGTGTATGGCTTAAGACTCATGATTTTGTGATTGTATAAACAAGCTTTACTATATAGCTGTTTTGTAGTGCCTGCATACTGAGTTTTAAAAAAGTTATAAAAAAAAAAAAAAACCTGTAAGTTAACAAACAAACTTAATTTTGGTTATAATAAATAACCTAAAACAAGTACATTTCAATAAAACAAATCCCATCAAAACAAGTCCACATACTAGGTAGACCACCTAATCCTACCGTCATGATCATTACACTGATAGCTGACCTAATTGCTCATTTCACTCACCTGCTTGACTCTGCCTGGTTACCCATTATCACTCATCTATCCACCTGCTCCTGCTGATTTATAGACAGCTCAGCCCAGCTGTCGGGGCCAGATCATTGACGTTGCTGAGATGACTTTGTTTTGGGTTACACTTTGAGTTCATAGCTCATGTTTTTGTTCATGTTCCCGTTCTCAGAGGCCAGTGTGAGAGAGTGTTTTTAGTATTGTCTTAGTGTTCCTGATCATCTCTTTTCTCTTATCCACTGAGTGTTCCTGCTTTTGGCTCAGTGGAGAGAGCTAGTTTCAATGTTCCGTAGTTTTCCTGATATCATATGTTGGCCTACCACTCAACCCTTGAGCTTGCCTGTTCCCATCTGAACGTTCTGCCAGAACTCTCTGTTGTACTCTTGGAACCCTGAACCTGCCTGAACTCACTGTGTATTCCTGGAACCCTGGATCTATCTTTTCCTGTTCTGATCGGAATCCCTGACCTGGCTACAGACTCCCAGATCTCGGAACCTTCCTGCTCTGAACTGTTAAACTAGGTAAGTGACCTACATGGATAATAATTTTCCTTCAGATTATCATGGTCACTTACCTGTGTTTCTCCCTAACCAGAGTGCCATTGAAGGGTGGTGCCCCGCCTCTCCCCTACAGATCCACAGCTCCACGTTCATTATTTTTAATAAATGTTATGAGTCTTTCCCACTGTCAGTCTAGCCTCAAAAATTGGGTCTTAAGCTCTGATGTTATTACATCTCCACCTGTCCAGGAGGATGACTATTATTGGGACTCAGTTCAGGTGGGCAACCAAAGGGTTGTCCACAGTGGGCACTAAGTTCAGGCAGGTGGTTTGGATGCCGTCTCAAGGAGGCCAAGTTTTTAAGAGTTTGATGGAGGCAACTCAGTAACCATCAAAAGGTCCAGTGACAAGCTCGCAAGGAACCCACAAAGGAGCTTTGGTAAACGCTAAAGACCACAAAGCAGCTTGGGTGAAGGAAAATCAAAAAGGATTGTTAAGATGTAGACAATGAAAATGCTCTATTGTAGCCTGGAGACCTCAAAGGAGCCTTTCAGTAGAACAAAGGCACTCATCTTCAGCACAGAGAGCAGGATCACAGAGAACTTAAGAAGATGAAGCAATAAGAATCTCAAGAACAGTAGCACTGGGAACCTCAAGAGCAGGAGCACTAAGAACCATGGGAACAGTCAACAACCTGACAAAAAGGACAACTGGTAACCTCGGGAGCAGAAACACAGAGAACCTCTGGAAAAGGAACACAGAAGATCTCACAACCTGTCACTGTATGTCAAGGAGCTGATACCAAAGGAGAGGGCTCAGACACTGTGAGCAGACAAAAAAGCTGGTGTTTCTTCATCTGATGAGGGATCATCAGACACATCCTTTTGATGGTCTGGACCTAATGTCATGGTTTTTTGTTGCAAAGGACTGAGGCAGTAAGCAGATGTTAAGAGGCGTATGATGGTGAAGGAGGATTTAATGCAGAAACGAGGAAGGCAACAGCCAGGAGACAATAGACATAAATAAAGAAGGCCTGAAAATGGAAAATTGTTAAGTCCTTCTTATTTAAGTAGAGGAATTGAGTGGACTAATCACAATTTGGGAGTGGCACATGCATGAATGGGGGAATCTTGAAGTGCTAGAAACAAAGATTGAAAAAAAAAGATAAGAGATGAAGTTAAAACATTAAATATAAAAATCATAAAACCTGCACCAAAGTATCTGAAAGACGGTCTGGGAAGCAGGTATAATGAAACAATTAATTGAATTGATAGTTTGTGGCGCTGTTGCCTTGCAGCAACAAGGTTCCGGGTATGATTCCCCGCTCGGGGTCTTTCTGCATGGAGTTTGCATGTTCTCCCAGTGGGTGCATGGGTTCTCTCCGGGTACTCGTACTTCCTTCCATGGTCCAAAAACATGACTGTTTGGTTATTTGGCATCTCAAAATTTTCTTTCGGAGTGTGTGTGCATGCTTTTTTGTCTCTGTGTTGCCTGTCCAGGGTGTACCTTGCCTCTTACCCCTTGACAGCTGGAGATAGGCACTGGAACCACCATGACAGAATAAGCAGAAGATGGATGGGTCTGATGGAGCTTTAAGTTTTTATTTAACTACGTAAAATAAACAGTTGTAGTTAAAATAAATAAAATTTTAAGGTGGTAGCTGTGTGATTTAAAGTAAATTGTAGTTTTATTGCAATATGTAATTAGTTTTCTTTTTTGAACCATTGAAAGGGTTGGCTGGTGGAGGGGTGGAGCAAACCATGGAGGTATGTCATGGTGTTTTTTATTTTGTTTTAATTGCAGAATGAATGTTTGGTTCCCAATACATTAGTCTGTTCTGTCCAGACATCTTTTGTCTTAATACTTGCATCTGACTTTCAAACCTGCTAAAGATAGATACCAAGTGAATCCTTACATTTTCACATCCTGTAAGTATTTAGCATTTTTAGTCATTAATAATATTGTATGCATACTCATTAAGGGACACATTGAAGTACATTTTTGCATACAGATGCAATATAATGTGCACCTGGTTTGTAGATCAGCCTGACATATGTGTCTAGTTTTCACATGTTCTGTACATTAAACCTTTTAAAAATTCCATGTGTCATTATAAGCAAAAAAAAAATTAAAAATAGAACCTGTATTTCAACTTAAAACATTATGATAAACTTTTAACTTTCCAGTGCAATAAGACTAAACACTTTTATTAATTTTAAGAGAATGGAAAAAATTGTTTTTAAGTTCCCACCTTCAAATTTTCCTCTTCATTTCCTTTCTTTCCATGATGCCTTTTACTGTGACCTTTACTTGAGATGAGAGACAGGGTGATGGCAGAACAAGAGACAAAACTGCTCATTTCACAGCTTAGTCTCCAGGCTATGAAACAAGGTCAGCAAAGCTTCTCTCTCTCTCTCTATCTCTCTCTCTTTCTCAGCAAGTCTCTCCAGCTGTCTATAAAACAACTGAATGAAAAACACATTTAGCTATGCATCAAGAGTTCAGTATACTTTTCTGAAAACATTTACAGCTAAAAATGGTGGCAGGCTCCTACAGGAAAGCATTATATGTCAAAATATACTTTTCATAGCTTTTTACAGGCCCAGTAGAAAAAAAAAAACAGCGGTGTTAATGTTTAACAAAGCAAAATTTAGAAATCCTGAATACGAATAAGACAGACTAGACCCAGGATGGTCAGTGCTTCCTAGCTTAATTCACAACTTCTATTTGGAGATGTCAAAAGGCTTAGTTCAAGTCAGCTGAATGGGGATGATCAAATGCCTGGCATTTTCAGCAATCTTGGGCTGGGATGAGCTGGGTTTATGATTATCAAAAAGACTTGAGTGGGCCATGGTAAGTCAACCCAACCCCAACAGCTGAAGCCTCCCTCAGCTCAGAGGGAATGCAAAACATGA